GGAGAGGGGTGCTATTACAGATTCTGTCCACTAGGCCACACTGGCCAGTGAGAGACAGGAGAATTGCCAGAGACTCTGGCTGCTAGGCCACACTGCCCTGAGAAAGGGATGTTGTTACAGACTCTGACTATTAGGTTATGCTACCTAGCAAGTAAGTGGAACTGACATAGGTGGGCTAGGATGCTATTTGAATAGTAAAAACATCAGAACGGCCAGACGGGGTCAGACCAAAGGTCCATCCAGCTCAATGTCCTGTCTGCCCACAGTGGCCAATGCCCGGTGCCTCAGAGGAAGGGAACAGACCAGGGAACCCTCACGTGATCCCTCCCCTGTCACCCATTTCCAGACAAGCAGAGGCTGGGGACACCATTTCTACCCAGCCTGGCTAATAGCCATGGATGGACCTAACCTGCATGAACGTAGCTAGCTCTTTTTTGAATCCTGTTAAACTCCTTGACTATGTCTACACTGACCCCTCTTGTGCAAAAAATATGCAAATGAGGCAAAGCATGGAATATTGCTGCACCTCATTTGCATAATTAATTAGGCTCTGTTTTTGTGCAAAAACCCCCTCTTGAGCAAGAGCCGTTCTTCCTGGAAAAGAGGACGAATGGCTCTTGCACAAGAGTGGGGTTTCGTGCAAAAAGGAGCCGTGTAGAATCCTCTCTTGCATATTTTTTGCACAAGAAGGGGCAATGTAGACATAGCCCTAGTCTTCACCACATCCTCTGGCAAGGAGTTCCACAGGTTGTGCGCTGGCTATTGATGCCTGCAGCATGACCTGAACATTCAGAATTGTTTGGCTGCAGAATGGAAAGCTCTCTCATAGGGATGTAAGCAACTAGTGACTCGACTAGTCGCTCTCCCCTCCTCTCTGCTGCCTCTATCAGAGAGAAGTAGGAAGGGGAGAAGAGCAGGAGCTGATGCTGGGGGAAGCTTGCTTAAAAGCCAGTTCCCACCAATACCGTCTCCCTGGGGAGGGGCAGGGGCGCAGTGGGGAACTGGCAGCATTTCCACCTTTGAAACGCAGTGAGAGTGGCGCTCTAGCTACATTTCAAAAGCAGAAGCACCATGGGGAGCACATCCCCCTGTTGGCCCCGTACCCCTCTCCCGTGGGGCTTCTACGTTTGAAATGTAGTAAGAGCCAGCAGGGCTCTTAGTACATTTCAAAGTCAGAGGCATCCTTATTGAGTAATCGATTAGTTGATGCAAATTCCATTAACTATTCAATTAGTTGATTAATCTAAATTGAACATCCCTCCTCTCGCATTAGAGAGACAGATGCTGAAAGGCCATCCCCTTGGTCAGATATCGCAGGTTGGGCCCACCCAGACACTATGTCCTTGCCTTGGAAGCGGGTAGCAGCCATGCCCATGACCTGACGCCGAGCTCTGTGTAGCTTGAAAGTGTCTCTCTCGCACCAACGGAAGTTGGCCCAATATAAGATTCTACCTCACGCACCTTATCACTGTAATACCTGGGACCAACATGGCTCCAATACACGCCTCCATGGCCATGAGCCACCGGCTGGGATCTCCACAGCTCTAGAATAGGCACAGGACTGTTTGATGCACAGAGACCTCGGAGAGAGTCATGAAAATACCAAGGAACCTAAAAGCTCCTGCTGCTCATCCCACCTGAATGTGGCCATTTGCCATTCTCGTGTGTGCCACAAGGTGGTGCCAGAGAGATGATTTCAGTCCCTTACCCTGGGCCTGGGGGAGTTTCACTCTGGAGGAAGAGAGACCCTCGGGGTGGATGGATGGTCCTGAGGGATGCTGAGCAGCATGGAGGCCCAGGGAGCCACAATGGGGCATCCAGATTTTCTTTTGCACCCTTGGGCCTCCCAGCTCAAAAGTCATGTTCTTGGCTCCCTCCGGCAGCCAGCTTCATCTGCCCCTCCGGCAGGAAGAAAGTTGCTGCTCTGCCGGGTTAACACCTATACAGCAGCGAATGTGGGTCTGGACTGGTGCTGGGCTGGCGTCTAAAAGCAAAAGTGCCTGCTTTTCCATTCGCCGAGGCGTGGGTAACTCCACGGGAGTCCTCCTCAGCGCCCTGGTGCAGGGGAGTCAAAATCAGGCCAGAACCTTTTCTAAGCTGACCTATTTCTCTGATGCAGGAAAAGCGAGGAGGGGGTGGGGGGACAGGCCAAGCCCTTTCTTAGCAGCCCAGTGGGTTGGGATGAGAAAGGAAAGTCGCAAACCAAACAACCTGTGTGCCAGTCCAGGAGGAAGCCCTAGAATAAATTCACATCTTAATTATTACTCCTCATTGGCTGGCTGGCTGGCTGCCGTAGAGCTGGGATTAAGGGTTTAAAGGTATATTGCTTTTTAGAACATGCTGGATCACTCTTGCTAACTGACCCCCTTTAGTTTACTAAACCTCTCGTGTGGACTAGGGATGTGAATGGGTAACCAGTTAACTGGTTAGTGGGTTTCCCAGGAGCAGTCCCCCACCCATGCAGCTTTTCTGGCAACAGAGAAATAGGTCAAGGCTTTGGGGATATTTTTAATTTTTGGAGGCTGCAGTACTTTTGTGATGGGTTTGGGGATTTTTGAAGCTCGGGAGCTTTTCAGAGGCAATAGACCAAAGGCTCTGGGGATTTTACTGAGGCCTCTGAGCCTCTTGCAATTTTTAATTAAGATTTAAGATGATTTTTTTTGTCTGAGAACCTGGAAAAAAGTTGTTTCAGGGGGAGGGGCTGAAATCAATTTCTTTTTTAGGAATTGCAGAAAATTGGTAAGGGAAGCCAAGAGACACTAAGAGAAATCTCTGGCCAACAGAATGAAGGGCAATAAAAAGTAGGGTTGTCAAGCAATTAAAAAGATCACCCGGGACGCCTTTCCAAGAGACAGTGCTGCACCCAGCCAGGGTCAGCTGGGGACTCCAGTTGACCCAGGCTCAGTGCAGCTGCCCCTTGGAAATGCATCAGTGATGTTTCCAAGGGGCAGCATCATGGGAGCCTGGGATCAGCTGGAGTCCCCAGCTGACCCCGGCTCCGTGCCTCCTTCCTTGCATTGATCACAGGTCTTAAGGCAGATCAATTGACAGCCCCAATAAAAAGCTTTTTTTAGATCATGAACAAAAAGAATCCGGAACAGATCGTTTTCCATTCTCCACCTTAGCACGCCTCCGGCATTCCCCTGCCTTTAGTCTGTGTCCGAGAGCTGTGACACGGACCAGAAATTGCCTCTCCTCGGCAGAAGAACCCATGTTGAATTGGCTAGAGTGACTGGTGTCCTGGGGGGAGAAGATCCCCGCGGGGGGACCTGCAGGGCCTCAGAGGGAGACAGCCTGCAGACGAGGGAACAGTTTCTTCTGCGGGGTCACTGAACTGAACCCCTGGCTCAGAGCAGCGTGTCCGGACAGACAGCAGAGGGGGCTGCTGCTGCGAGACCCCCCCCCCCCCCTCCCCGGGGC